GCTTATCTCCATGACCACTCTGTACTTAAAACTCTCCCTCTGCTTTCTTTCCCAATATAGTTAACACTAATTGTGGCTAAACAGGGCATCGTGGTTGTATAGAAGTTAGTCAGCAAGCACCAACTTCTCCTGTGTATTTTCTGGTGCCATCCTCTTAGACCTTCAGGAAAGCAGACAGGGAACTCTTTGTTTCCATCAGAGTTCGATGTTTAATGTCCATTTCTGTGTTCTTGGCCTCTACTACCTTCCTCTGCAAGACAAAACGGTATTCCCTCCTGTCCATTACTATTTTCTTGGCAAATCTACATGCTTCTAATACTGCTTTGTTAAATCACAGGTTCTTCCTCACTGCATTTGTAGATCCCCCAGGGTCAGATATTGGCTCCTGCTCTGGCAGTATGAGTAGCTTGCAGAATTGTCCTAAACAGGTACCCAAGGATTGTCTCAGCCTTATACCACTCCCCCTTTTGCTTACCCTCCCTGATGGGTGGCATAGTTTGGGATTGTGTTACAGCATAAGTGGCATTGGTAAGAATAGGATTATCTTCTTCCTGTTACCAGCTGCAAGTGCAAGTCCAAGAACGCCATGTTTAAGCACTGCTAATTTTAAGAGCTAAATGCTACATAGGTTAAGGGATTTAGACATGTAGAAAATAGCAACTTTAACACCTAACCTTAACTTCAAGTGTGGAATTCAGACCCTGAGTTAGTTACCAGGTCTCCATCTGAAATACACAGAGGTTCCCAAGAAAGCTGTCCTTGGCAAGGTGTGCTGTTATATCAACTAGTGAACAGGAAAAAGTTCTGGTGAGAAATTTGCTCATTATTAGGGATTACACCCATTTTCCTGAAAGCCTTTTCTCAAAGATTATGAACTTCTGAACAGAATCTCAAAATCACAGAACAGTTGAGGTTGAAAGTGACCTCAGGAGGTCATTTCATCCACTTCCCTTGCTCAAATAGAGTGACCCTTGAGCTACTTTGTGTATCTCTAGGGATGGAGACTCCACAACCTCTCTGGGCCGTCTGTTCTATTGCTCAGTCACCCGCATAGTAAAAGGTTATTTTCATATATTCAGATGAAACCTCTGATGTTTTGGTTTGTGCCTGTTGCCTCTTGAGTAGTTGGGTTAGATGGTCTTTCATACAAGGCTTTACATCTTAAAATACAAGAAGACCTTTAATTCCTTTAGCTGGAAGGAATGTAATAATAATAATAATTCAAGGTTTTGATGTCTGAATAAGAGCTGAGGAAGAGCATGCATGACTCTAGACTTATTGTTAGAAACCTCAGACTGAAAAGATGTGTCTCAATATCTACTTTATGGACCACATAATCTAAATACACAAAGAGGTGTGGGAAAAATATTTAGAAATTCATCCCCATGTTCAAGAAGTAGTTGAACCTGGGTCTTCTACTGCTTCAGTAAGTGCTCTTGGAGTGCCTGCTGGGATTCATTGCTATTTCTTGCAATGGCACCGGCTTTTTTTGCAGTAACAAAAAGCCAGATAATTTTACTAGAGTAGTACCAGACTGAAACTACTATACACTGCTTCTCAGCGAGGCTTCTCACCATACCTGGAGTACCCGACTGGCCAGGTCACTTTTGGTCCACTTGGAATCAAGGCAGAGCAAGCTCCTCACTGTCATATGAAGGGAAGAGTCATTCACGCCTCGCCACAGTGACCACATGTTGCCCTAGAGAAAAATTGCCTATGTCTCGTTTTACCACCTTGTATAATAGAAACACCAGTGGAACTCTACAGTAGGTGGTCAGTCCAGTCCCAAGCCCTGAATTAGTCACCCATGTTATGGTATTGTCTTGAGTACTTGTCTTGGAAAGGTTCATGGAGAGGCCTGGGCATGATGTAGCCCAGTACTGTAACTGAGCACACTACAGAAAGGAATCAACTCTACCACCAAAGACAAGAAGGCCACAGTAGGATGTGCACCTCTGGAGATCAAAAATCCAAGTACCTATTTAGAGTCATGAAAGAAGAGAATACTTAGCTTACTGTGGAAAAATATTAACACGTTTTTTAGTTTTCATTAAAGGTCCAACCCAGTGGGTTTATCTACTAGGGGTCCGTGTAAACTGAATTTGGACAGACTTCTCTTCCTTTGTTATTCAAATATGCACAGATTGTAGAATATCTTTATTCAGTCTTTACTCTTTATGCTCAAATAAAGGTAATCACATAATGGCACACACATGAATCCTTTTTCTAATGTTCACGTCTGTCAGTCAGTCTAATGTTCTGTCTACTTATAAAGGTGTCTGTATCCTAGTATAAATAAGGCTCTGTACAAAAATGCTTTGCATTTATGTGTGTTGGCTTAATTTTTAACATATTGCTCTGTGTTAGTCTTTCTGTCTTTAAAGCAGATTTTTGTCTTTTTATCTATTGTTCTGAGCTCACTGTCTGGTATTTAAAAATTGCCTAAAGAAAAGAATTCACATTCCATTGTGCTAATGTGCACTGTGTTCAGGCAAAGCTTGAAAGGAGGACAAATGAAGTGTTTTTATCAATTGCGCAAAAGTTGCTATTACTACTGTATGGTAACTATTTTTCAGTGTTTGGTATAATTCGACTATATGTTTTAACATTGGTATGAAATACACATTGTATTTTTTAAAAAAGAAAATTTCCCATGTGAACACTGAACATTTTGTAATGTAAAAACACATAAAATATGGTCACCTGATGTGGATATCCTGCATGCTCATGGAGAACTGTAATAGTTAAGTTCTGATTGCAGAAATTCGCTAGATATCACAGAACAGGACTTCCAAAGAGTCACGTCAAAATAAAGGAACAGAAAAGAGAAGCGTGTACTGTACTTTCATGTTGTCAAAACCAACAGTATTGATGTTTTCTGTCTCTATATTGCCCAATGAAATCCTCCCAGAGATAATCGTCTTAATTATATTGATCTCTCGGGAATGCTGATAAAGTTAGATGATAATGAACTGTGAGCTGAGCAGGGGCAGTTGTAAGCCTTGCATGGACTTTTTCCAAATTTGTAAAAATATTGAGAGAACAAAATACAGGTAGCATCATGCTCTCTCTCTAGTAATACCCTCTTTGCTGAGTTTTTTTCCACATCATTATCTGTACACTCCTCAGCATACACATACTTTGTTTTTTCATGAATGCTACAAAAGAATTCTTTACTGAATTCTTCTCTAAGTCATATTTTGTGTGAAAAGGAAATGTTAAAAAACCCTCAGAAGGATAAGGAATAGGGTTTTAGCTAAATCTAAAGCTGGTTTAGTTCTGTGGATTACTGCAGTCCACAAGGCCTTTTTTTTTTTTTTTTTGCTGGTGTGCTTGATCTATAGGCAGTTTATAGCCCATCTCCAGGAATGCCTGCCTAAATAAGAACGTATATATTTTTTGTGCCTTTAATTGTTGGGTTGTTGTATTTTTTGGGGGTTGGTTTTGGTTTTTTAATGTGGACATTTAATGCATAATAAGGCATGATGTCAAATCCCTCAGATTCTTTAAATGGTGGCCAGAAGAACCACTGTTACAGATGCACTCTGTTTTCATTGTAATTTAAGTTTACTGAAGTCTGATAGAACTTTGGCCATGCTCCACAAAACTTTGCAGCTGACTGCTTGGATTACATTTGGCAGCAAATTAAATGAGACAACCTGATAGTATTTGTTTATAAAGTAATGCCAGTGAATCAGCATAGGTAGACAATTGCACAGATGCACGCAAAACACACATCCATAGGATTGTAAATAAACAGATTTCACAGGAACCAATCTAACTCTATTAACTGCCATGTTGTTTCTCCTTATTTACACCTGCGTGAGTGAAAGTTTAATGATTGTTATGTTTGTTTCAGATAAGAGAAGGCTGAAACATTCACATTTATCTAGTTTGAGTATATTGAACTGGACTCCTTTAATACTGATCATTAAATACAGAAATATTCCAGTCTTTTTTTTTCCTGTCCCCTCCTCTCTGAAAATACAGTGCTTGATGGTATTTGTGTGAGGCGATGTGAAAATACAGGTTTGGCTGATACCTCATGTACAGATTACAATTTCTTATTTTTATGTATGTGGTAATCATCATTAATTTGATGGCAAATATATAGCTGAGTAGAATAAACCATCTTGAGTAGCTGAAATAAAGAGTAAGTGTAATGAAGCAGTGGTGTTATTTCTTAATCTGTTGTAAGAGAAATTTGATATGATACACAACCTTATGAAACACTTGCTTCTTTAATATATAATCTGACTTTCTGAACAGAGCTACCTTGCCAGAACTTCTACATTTTCCCTTTACCTTACCCACACTGGAAGGAAGGAATTTTCATTTTTCTTTTATCCTCAGTGACTCTAGAGGCAAAAATTCCTTGATCATCACTGATCCTAGTGCTGTACTTTATGAAAATTATATACAGTTCCAGAACGTGTGTTAGAAAATGACTTTAGGGAATCTATTAAACTTGCAAGCATGGCAGGTTCTCAAGTTTAATTTATGGTTTGCAGAAATATGGGATATTCATTGTCGCCCTTTTTCTAGTGTTAGAAATTACATGTGTGTGGGTCTGAATTTATCATTTAGTCCATACAGAGGTAAGGTCAACAGTGGATAATCATGTAAAATATAAACCTCAAGCTACTTTGATTTTGAAGCATGTCAAGATGGAGCAAATTAACATCACATGATCTTAGATGCTTCCTTTAAATGTGAATTCTAGACAGCAGAATTGATAACAAGGGCTTTCTCATCCTGCCTTTTTCCTCCTCTTTAGATCATGTTGTGTGTATATGTATGTATGTATGTGCATGTGTGTATTTATGTAAGTTTATATGCCACTGTTCTCAACTATATTATTTCTGGCAGTACTGTGAATGGGTGATTGGACAGAAAAAGAGCCTCTAATAGATTTCAATCCCATTTGCCTGCTGCTCTGTTTTGCACTCAGTCAAGTATTTTTTTAAGCTGATAATTGAAAACCTATCTTGTTCTTACAGAATGGCTTTGCTGTTGTAAGGCCCCCAGGCCATCATGCTGAAGAATCAACAGCCATGTAAGTACCAGGGAATATTGCCCATCTTGGAGCACTAAGGTTACTGGCAATCACCTGCGTTGTGCATGTCTCTGAAGAACTGTAATTGTTAGCAGATGACTGAAAAGGCTTTCCAGGTACTCCCAGAAGCAGATTTATGGCCTCAGAGATCATATAGCATTTTTTAAAATGCTCTGAACATTATTTATAGCTATTTTCCTGACTGATTTGCTTTCTTATTTCTGTTCTTCTCTATTCCACAGGGGGTTCTGCTTTTTTAATTCAATTGCAATTACTGCCAAATACTTGAGAGACAAGCTAAATATAGGCAAGATATTGATTGTAGATCTGGTATGTATTCTTGGCAAGCATCACACTTTCAATGCATCTAGATAAAATATAATGAATTTGTATTTATATGTCAGACTTTCCAGCTTTTAATTCCTACAAGTAATAAAGGTGTGCATTTCCTCTGATTTTGGGAACTCATTAAAGCCAGGATGGCAGTACTGAAGCTATAAACATGTATGTTTCACTTTAATGGTGTTAACTGCAATTTAATGAGAAGAAGGCACAGATCGGGGCAACTTTTATGGTCCTTAAATGAATTGATACTTCCACCGTTAAAATAACCCTACAGAACCCAAGTTTACTTTTCCCTACAGAATACAAACTTTAAATAGTCAGATGTTCTTTAAAGGATGTTGTTGCATTGATAACCAAATTGGCCACTTTGCCCAGCTAGCAATGATTTGACTTGTTGTGTAACTTCGATATTATTAAACAAATCAGCAGGTCATTCCCTCTAAGAAGCTTTCAAGTCATGTATGTCAGGTTTTGATGGTTCCCTGAAGGAAAGCTATGTGATTAAAAACCCACTTCATTGGATTAGTCTTGTATTTTAATAAAAGGCATTCTTACACAATACTTAATATGTTTAACAAATGGATTATTTAAATGCAGATGACATTTGGCATGTTGGCTGTATTATTTTCATGAATAATGAATTGGAGCTCTGCCTTGCACTTAAAGGATCAGCCCAATGCACAGCCCAAGGAAAGTTGAATGCTGATTTATGAGCACCATTTTTGTTTTCCTACAGTTCATGACGAGGTGTAATAGGGTGTCTGACAAAGCATAGACAGGAAATGAACCCTGGCATCAAAACCTAACCTGTTACATCTGCACTTAATTAATTTTTGCAGGTGATAAAAGATTTAAAGACAAAATATGTTAAAGGGTTTTTGAAGTGCAGGGCTTAATAGTCTAAATCTTGTTCATATCTGCACTCATAATTAAATCTTATTGTGGAGTCATGGCCTTACCATCTAGCACTTTTGTTCAGTTAAACACGCGTACTGGCTGTTGAAGAGAAGCAGAGAAAGGGGGAGTATGGGAGAAGGAATGGCAAGTGAAAAATTAGTGGTAAAATAAGTATATGGGTAGATTAAGTATTCTTAGAATGTTTTTCAAATATTTCTCAGATTGGTCTCCTATAATTTATAAACATAATTATAAACCGACAGAAACTAGTATTTTTGAAAAATTCACTTCTACTATATGTTGTGTCTGTTCATTGACTTGAATCTTTCAGTTCATTGATGTAAGTGCTGGCCAAAAGCAGAGTCTCTGTTTATTCTCATTTTTAATAGGAAAATCCTATTCAAAGTTTGCATTTTGTGGATATTTCTAAGTCTTTTTGTGTATAAGTATTAAATCTGCCTTGTCAGGAGAAGAAAACATTTCCCTTTGACATACTTAGGCAATAAGCACTTAGAAATTCAGCTTTTCAAAGCAAGGTTAGATGTGCAAATCATTACCTGTGCAAATGATTACCTGTGAAGCTGCCTATCCTTGCCCAGGAAAGTACATAGGGAATGCTCAGCCTCTCTCTAACTCTGTCCCATTGGCCAGAATAACTCAGCTGATGAAAAGGAAGAAATATATGGCTGATACTGATTGCTTCATTCCTAGAGCAGTTGCAGTCCAGTCCCCAGTCTGCTCTATGGTCAGAGTAATGATGTACAAAAATTCATATGGAAAATTTCTTATGCATGCAAACTATGGATAAATCACAGGACAAACTGAATGAATGAACAAGTTAATAGTGATGTCTTTATTCCCACCAACAGAGAACTTAGGGCATCTGAAGGAAAGAATGGAATTACAGATGTTAGACTTGAAATTAACCTTTAAGATTATATTTTGATAGTGACTAGCACAGCAGGATCCCATGTAAGTTGGCAGTTATACATGTTACTACAATATAAATATTAAAAAGTAATATCCAATCCCACACACTAAAGTATACTCTAGTTACAAATTAAATGTTGTCTTCATAGTTGCAACGTTTTCATATATAAATTCTTAACTTTTTAGTTATCAATCTTCCCTTCATTTATTTCTACACTAAAACACTGACTTTTTTTTTCCCTTACCCACCACTTGGATAAATCTCTGTTTTTGAACTGACTTACATACCCTGAATACATTTGATCTACTAAGGGCAGATTATGAACTCATTTCCCACATGCTAACATCCGCAGTCTTAAAGAACACATTCCTTTGTCTAACCAGAAAAGTTACTGCTCTTCAAAACTGAGTAACCCTTACTGGAATTAAGGTTTAGACAAGAAAGATAGCTTTGAGATTTGAATTAAAAAAAAAAAATAAAAAGGAGAAAAAGGTGTCTCTATGCCACTTAAGTATTTTTTTCTTCCCATTTGGAAACTGTTATCTAAAGCCCCAAATATGCATGGAAAAGAAAAACTAAAATCACAAAATTAAGTCCTCTTGTGTTTTTAGTCATAATCCCTGAAGATCTGTATATGTGCCCAGCACAGCTGCTCAGGTTGCAATCCTCATTCCAAGATCATCCATACTTGTATGCATGTTAGCAGGATTTGAGTCTGTGTTGGGGTAAACCAATCACTTCTGTCACAGCTGAAGACAATGGATTTTCAAGGTTAGTCTGCATGCCAGAGTTTACTTCATGTGCCAGTCAGAACCCTCTAACACTACGCTAGCTGCCTTCAAATCTTCAACACCATCACACCAGTGATGCACCTCCTTTGCACCTCTAATGTGTTACATTTACCCTTGGCATTGTCACAGTTGGGCTGTAACTCCATCCTCATGTTGTTTCAAGTACTTTCAACTGAGAAAAGAAACCATTATAATATTACCCTACAGAGGTCCCAGAGGAGGACCAAGTCAAGCACAATGCGGTACGAGTAAGACTCAATCAATGTAGAGAGTTCTGAACAATGTGGGTAAAAGTCATGGGCTGCATCGGCTGCAAGGAGGACAAGCAATGGTCAGTGCTTGCTGTGCTGTTGACATTGTACACCTTGAGGTACACCTTGAACCTTCCCGGGGTCTATGCATTCTGAGGAAAATGTGACTGTCGTTCCTCTGATACTAAATTTGATTTAGACCTCATAACATTTGTAAAGTAAATACAGACTGGGTGACTGGGTGTTGCCATTCAGAGTACTTTGTCTGTTCTTCTTTATTCTCTAAATCAGAAATGTCAAAGGGATGGCTTAACAGAGGAGAATTAATAATATCTATAACTTTTCAACCTCTTAGAAATGCCAGTGAAGAAACTTTTTTTTCTTACTTTTCTTTTACTGAAAGGCAAGTGGATTCTCCATTTTTACTTGTAGAATTCTTATGTGCCTAACCACATAGTACAGCAGTAAAAAACAAACTAAATAAAATGGAAAAGCCTGCATCATCAGCCTTTGTTACATAGATATACTGTCAGCATTTCTTTTTCAGTATTTTATGTAATGACAGAATTTTTTCACTGTTGTTATATAATGTTTGAAATATGGAGACTAGCCAAGGTCACTCCTCGATTGTGAAAGGCACCATCCTATCTGCCAGATGATTTAATAGCTAATGAGATCATATTCCTATGTCTTCAACTGTTGCCGTCATGATTTTGCAAAAATGAAGTATGAAGTCCTTTCTGCATCTGGCATCTCTTTTGATGTGGATCTAACTGCTGAGGGACTGAACTGAACTGAATGTTTCAAGAAAGCCAATTTACTCAGCTGGTCGCAGAGCCTTTGACCTCAATAGTGGAACTTGGCAAATCAATGAATACTCTTATGTTTAGTGTTCTGTCAAGAATTGTGAAAAAGCTCTGTAAACCATAGATCCTTCTGCAAAATACTAGTTTGTAGTTTAAACATTAGTCTTTCTTCAGAGGCCAATGAGGCTAGTTAATTAAGCCTGAGGGGTTATGAACTGTTGGCAGTTAATAAGTCATAAAATTCTTCCATAAAACAGGATGCTAGATTCCATCACTGAGGCAAGGAGTACAAAGAGCCGGTGTATAAATATCTAATTGTACAAAAGGACTGGGATTTCTCAATGACTGCTCATCTGGAGTCTCCAGGGCACGCTCGCTATGGTTTCCTGATTTTTAGAAGCCAGTTTAAAAAATGAGTGCATTAAAGAGTAATTTGCCTGAAAGTTCAGGAAGTATGGGGTGGTGAAGGGAGGGGGAAAGGAAAAGACAAAAGGAGGGCAAAGGAGAGGGAGAGAAACTGAGAGAGAGAGAGGAGGGGGGTGTAAAAGAAAGCAGAACCGAGCTCTCTACACTGAGTTGGACATTATTACATTTGTCATCTGTTTTCTTTCTCCTTTAGGATGTTCACCATGGCAACGGTACACAGCAGGCTTTTTATGCTGACCCCAGCATCCTGTATGTTTCCCTCCATCGCTATGATGAAGGCAACTTCTTCCCTGGCAGTGGAGCCCCAAATGAGGTTAGGTTTATTTCTTTAGAGCCCCATTTTTATTTGTATCTTTCAGGTAATTGCTTTGCATGATTACCCCTAATTTTCTTGTCCTTCTCTGGTTCTTTAAATTACACCAGATTACCAAATTGTCCACTGGGAGCAGGGGACCAGTAGAGAACAAGTGCATAACCCAGAGCAGTCCTTGTCAAACAAGGCTAGGCTGATCTGACATGTTGTTTGATGTTTGTTTCTAAAGCACATTTGAGATTTTTTTTTCCCTTTCCCTCTCTCTTTTCCTCCTCCTTTTTCCTCTTTTTTCACTCCTTTTAGCATTTTATTCCTATTTTTCAGGTTGGAAGTGGCCCTGGTGAAGGGTATAACATAAATATCGCTTGGACAGGTGGCTTGGACCCCCCTATGGGTGATGTTGAGTATCTCACAGCATTCAGGTTGGTACCTTTAAAAGTTTTGAAAACTAGTTGTAGAGCATAAGCACATGAATAAGAGCTAATGTAATACTGAAAGTAAGGAGAATGACCTATGGTGAAACGAACTTAATTCTGGTATCCCAGTATATGAGAGTTTAGTAAATAATGTAAAAGGATAATTTAATTGTTGTGATCATCCATGCAGAATTAACAGAATAATTTCTAGTTACTAATTGGTCACTGTTTTTTTCATTAAAAAATGACTACCTATAACATTTGAATACAAGTATTTACACCAGGCAGAAGAAAATTGCTGTTCACATTCACATTGATTGCAGTTATGTGCCAGTAGAGCAGATAGAAAGTAATGTGAAGTATGGCCCAAATCCAGTGTCTCTCATTCATTTAAAAGACTCATCGTGATGCTCACAGATTTGAGCATTAGCTTTTTCTGTGAATTGTGGTAAAGTGTTATTTACCTAAAAGTAAATAATTGTGAAATATCACAGTAAGAATGATAGGAATTGTTGCATGCTCTATTTCTCTTCACTTTCAATAGCTAATTCTAAATGAAATTTTATCCTTTCATAGGTGATGCATCATAATATTTAGTGTTATTTTCATGGGACCAGGGAAGAGAAAACTAGTTTAAAACACAGTCTTTTAGAGTTTCAGTAGTCCTGTCTTACATACACCATTTCCTTTCATTGTAATGCAGTTTAATGGAAGGATTTAGTGAGCAACTCACCTTTCGAGACTGGGCAAATGCTACATATTTGTAAGGAGGTTTTCATTTAGTAGAAAATGGTATGGAGGAAAAACAATGAGACAGCCAACAGGTATCTCCAATCTCTTTTAAGATATTTAGTTTCAAGTAGTACATTTATCACAATATCCCACTGTTATTGTGGAAAAGGTTCTAATTGTATTTCCATTTGCCTGTATTTAAAGAAGAGTCTAAACAAATAGTAAGTGGCAGGCTCCAAATTTCCTACACTTCAGTATTGCCTCAAGCTCTTTCCAGGATACATCTTATTCTTTGATGAGATTTTCGTATAGGTTAAGGAACTGGATGGTTCAAATAACTGGTATTAGTGTCTGATATTAATATATTTGGTATTTCCTCCCCAACATTCTTGATTTGGATCCAAACTGTTCCACTAATGATAGAGGTAATGTGGCCATCTATTGATGCAGAGAATGGTGGTTGCAGCTTATTCAACAGAAGACTCACAAAACTTGAACTGTAACCATAATTGGTACCACTGCTATCCTGATGACAAATACATGGGCTTAATAGTACATTTACAAATACGAACTTCACAGTTCTGTTTTAAGACACACTAGTAAATAGTTTGGAGCAGCTAATATTGCTGCTATGCCTATTACTCCAGAATTAGAGGGAATTTCAATCTCTATGCCTAAGCAAAGCAGCACTATTTCTGTGAAATAAGGAAAATAAAATTCATGTAAGCTACTGGCTAACCATGTGCAGACATACACTTAATTATAATTATTATATTTTTAAGTCACATAAATTCAAAATAAAGCTTAGGATTTCCCTTTAATAAATTGCTGATGGTGAAAAATGTAATGCTGCTATTTTAAATGCATCAATTTAACTGTGTAATTAATGTTGTAATTAATGTGAAAATTACACATTGTGTTAAATAGGTAATTGCCTTTATTTTTTTTAAGAATTATAATATCCTTGCTTGATTACAATAGATACTGCTGTTTTCTTTTTCTCCAAACAAGTATCAGCAACAGGAAATGTTTCCTTACCTCTCAGCCCCTTTTGTGCCCTCTGTAGGGCTTACTGATATGGATTAGTATGACTGGTATGATGGTTTTGAGTGGGGATCAATGAAGCAAACAGCATGGAAATTTGAAGGGTGAATACAAAAATTTGTGAAGTGCATGGGATAGACCAGTAACTATTTTCTATGCATCTAGTGTGAATGGTAGGCAAATTTACAACTCCTCATAGACACCTTATCCATGGACCAGAATCTATCCCTGCTATTATCCAAAGTGTCACACATAATGTAGCCTGAGTTCTCAGTTTGACCAGAACAGAATTGTGAGACAGTAGTCAGGCAAGAGAGATCCACAGTTTATCCTTTAGCCATAGATAGAAAGGAAGGTATAGTCTTGGAGAAAATGAACAGAAGAGTTGGTAAAATATCCCAGCAAGTCAGCTGTTGTTCTGGAATTCTGACCTGCAATCAGTTTTTAAGAAAATAAGTGGGTTTCGTAGAAAGGAAAATATTGGGGTTTTTATTAAATTACTTTGTTTTATAGACAGACTTACAGAAAAGATCTGAACTAAGGGGTGGAGAAAAGGTTGAACATCTTCAATTTTAAGAGAAAAATAAGGGACATCATACCTACTCTCCAGTACACAGAGAGGTTACTCAGTATTCACTCCCTAATGAAGGCAGGAGTGGGTGTTGGTGAAGGTCCTGTCCCTTGTAACCAAGGTGTAAGTTTGCAGATGGGTGGAGCCTGTTTGGAGAGAAGCCAAGGCTTTCTGCTTACGGGCAGCCTCCAGAGCTTAATCCTTTGAGTTCTTAGGATCTGAGAAATTTGCATTAAAATAAGCTAAAAATCCCTAGGGGGTGCACATAGCTTTCACCTTCTCACCAGCAGAGCCCTTATTTCATCCCAGAATTGCACCCAGCACATATTCGAAGTGTCACCAGCCTTGACACTAGGCAACTTGTTACTGCTTGATTGACTGTCAAATTTCACAGCAGAAATCCCTCTGAATGATAATGTCCACAGAAAAAAAGACCAAAGCTTTTTTTCTGTCTCTAGAGTTCAGCTCATAATCAGGTATTATATATGACAATGTGTTTGATATCAGGTATATTGTTCTTAGACCAGAATATATTTGTAGAAGAGTGTAAGTATTTACACATCTACATATATATATACATGCAGGTAGTGGAATATTAGTTATTTTCCACTGCATAAATCACTAGATAAATCTATTTTCAGTAAATCCTTTTAGGACTGAATAATATTGAGCATCACTCTTCCTTCAAACTGTTCGAGAAAGTATTTCTATTTCTTCAGGAAAAAAACAACTTTCAGTGTAAAAAAATGAAGAAAATGTGAAGGCATAATACAGAGTAGTCACTTCAAAGACATGCTGAGTGAGTGGCTGCACTGGGACTATCGTGGAGAATAGCAAAAAATAATGGTGTTGATTTGTGTCTGCCATTTTGATTTCAGTGCTACATGAAGAGTTTATTGTATTTTTGAACTAACTCTGTGGCAAAATCAAATGTAAATGGCTGTAGCCAATTTTAAGATGAAGACTGTGAATTCATTTATAAAAGAATATGTTTTAATTTCTCTTCCATTTCTACTAAGAAGATGAGTTTGCTCATGTTAACTACAAGGAGGTAGTAGAAAATGCAGGAGAGAGAAGTCTCTGCATAATGGAAAGTGCAGTAATCAAATCACTGTACCATTTAGTTCTGCCAGAAAAGTGTTTTTTGATGTTTACCATAGTTAAGCAATTGGTATAGCTACGGAAATCCTTGAAATAATAACGTTTTTCTAAAGGGCAGGCATCTCTTTTCTCCGAAGATAACAAAAAGGCACAGCTCTTTCACATTACTTTCAAGACCTGGAGTATCCCTCTGGAGAGTTTGTTTCATCATTTACTTCCACCTATTCAGGTTAAATTTGCTTTAATCTCTTTGAAAGCAATAGGAGATGGTGGCTATTTTCTAAGAGGATGATTTTACACTCGAGTTTATGAGGATGTAATCCGCTCTCTTCTGCCAACAGTTATAGAAAAAATAAGAGCAATGGGTGACTAGTAGTGTTCAAATAATTATTTTCATGAGCTCCACATTATACCAGATGTGCTCAGTAAAACAGGCAGCAGACAGAGGCTCAGGTCTGTTTTGTACATGCACATGTATCTACGTGTGTACTTGGAGTTTACAGAGGGCAGGAGAGCTGTGTTTCCATAGAGTAGAATATAGAAGATACAGGAGGCAGTGGAAACAAATGTGAGTGTTGAGAAGACTGAGGGAGAAGCAAGAGAGAGAAGGAAACTGAAGTGTGCCTTCCAACCACCTTGCACTGTTTTTATTAAACAAAAAGTTGTAAATTTGGCTTAACCAGCCAGTATGCTCTGGTTGCTTTGCACTACTCCAGAGTAGCATAAAACATCCACAGCATATCAATGAACGTGGCCATAAGAGCTTGCATAAAATGAAACATATATGTGTGTATGATTCTTGGAATGATTAGAAACACTGTATGATAATATTTTTTAGCAGTCACGTGTTTGATTTTAATTTAAGAGGGTGATCAAATTAAAAAGAAATAGGTGCCATTAAGGCAGAGTTAAAGATTATCTACGATTTAATTTAAAATATAGCACAACATTTGTAATTACCTGCAAATACAATTTTAAACAAAGAAAGTTCAAAATTAAAATCATACTTGAAACCATGTGTGTTAAAATGTAAAAATGAAAGAAAATTAAGGTGTGCAGAAAATCTTCACCCTGTCTTGGAGTTCTCAGTGTTTGGTTTGAGAGAAAATAAATACATTTAAAACTGTTTGCATTCTAAGGTCTCAAAAATATTAACAAAAATATTACTTGTCATCTTGAGGCCATACAGGGCATAGTTAAGGTTATTTGAGAGACTGCATTGATGTATATCAACCCTTCTTTTTTCCTTAGTTTTGTATTTCTGGATCTGGTGACATTTAATTTTGACATTTCAAATTAAAAACTTTGTAAATGTACTTTTGTTGTTTTCAAATACATTGTCTTTGTTAACTCTGTTTCAGCATAGATACTAATTTTTCTTTACCATTTAAGTTACACTTTAATACCCTAAGAAGAACACTATATTTCTATATTTTTCTTACATTTTTTCATTAAAGTTTGCATAGCTAGCCTATATTTTTATAAATTAAATTAATTTTCTTGTAAATTCTACTTTTATAACTTTTTGTTCAGTGAGGAATTGGAGATAACTTCAAGA